CTATATAGTTGTTGCCGATGTTGTAGTTTCTACTCGTTTTTGTTGTTCTTAAAAAAAAAATTTACTTGCCTTGCTAGGGAACATGATTTTACAAAATGATGACGATGACGACGTTGATGGTAATTCTAGCAAAGATGATGATGATGATGATGATGATGTCATTGATTTTAATAATGATAGTGATAATGATGATGATGATGATGATGATAAATTGAGAACGTATATACGACTATAATACAGCAGAGAAGATGAAGAAGATGACGACGATGATGATGGTAAGGATGAAGATGATGGTGATGATGATGGTGGTGGTGATGATGATGATAGTGACAGCACACACGCGCGCACACACACACACACGCACACACACAGACAGACTGCCTGAAACATGATAAAGAAAAGTAATTGAAGAATTGACAAATAATGTGATGATTGATGATTATGACGCAGAACGCGCTGATAACAGGATCGAGAAACCGGCCGATGATGATAATGATGATGAGGATGATGATGATGATGAAGAAGATGATGATGATGATGATGATGAAGATGATGATGATGATGGTGATGATGATGATGATGGTGGTGGTGGTGATGATGAAGATGATGATGATTATAACGCCGATTTTGCTATTTCAAAAAATTATTTTTTCCGATATTTCTATAAATAAACAGACCGTATTTTTTTCAGAATAAACTAATTCCGCCCACATTCCAATCATCAACCAATCAAAATCACTGATTTCGTCTATCAACTAATCATAAACTATCGCAACAATCCATCAACCAATCAAACCCCAAAGCAACAACTCATCATCCAATCAAATTCCAAAGCATCAACTCATCATCCAATCAAACGCCACCACAAAACAGCCCAGCCAATGAGCAAGCACGTCTGCTCCCTATTCGGAAACGCCCCACTAAAACCGGAAATCGGAGGTGTTTGGTTACACAGTCACATGACGAAAACAGCAACGGCTACGTCATCAGTAGCGGCAGTTGTTTCAGCAGTAGCAGCAACTACTTCAGCTGCTGCAGCAACCGGAAATGAATTGAGGGCGGTTCATCCTGGTGACCGAAAATGCCCTTGGGTAATTCAAGGTCACAGAGGTCAACGAATTAATGTCAGCTTGATCATACTTCACAGACGTTTAGACGGTGATGAAGAAGAAGATGATGATGATGATGTGGACGGAGATGATAACAACGATGGGGTTAGATGATGATGATGATGACGATGACGACGATGATGACGACGATGATGATGATGAAAACAAGATTAAAAGAATCATGCATAAAATTATTTATTGGCGATACTAAATAAAACAACAACAACAATAACAACAACAATAACAACAACAATAAAGATTTCCTCTCCAACAAATCAAAGAACGCCGTAAAACAATCGATAACCAACCAAATAAAAATCGTTCATAGACAAAAAATAGAACCAAAAATCATAAATAAGAACGTGCACAAGTTAACAAGACCATAAACAAATAAACAGAAACAAGTGTATCATGAAAAAATCACTACACATCAAACAAAGATCATAAAAACACACATAGAAAACACAATAATTACACAAAACAAAGAACAAAAACAAAACATAAAAAATCATAAACAGGAAATGACGTCATCTCGCTGCCCAGACATGCGCATTGTGGTCAAAGATAGCAAAAAGAGTCTTGAAATTGATGTGTGCAAGTTGAGAAGGAGAGAGAATTTCATTCATCTATCGCGCTCTCATTCAATAAAAATTTATTATTACTATTATCAACACCGACAACAACAGCAGCTACAGCAGCAGCAGCAGCAACAACAACAACAACATTTTGGTAGTGGCACTGTTTTGGCTGATAATACTACATTCACGAATTCAAAACAATTTCATTATTTAGCATGGACAAATGAACAACAACATCGCCAACATCATCACTACCAACAACAACAACAACAAAACAACAACAACACATCGTCATCATCATCGTCGTCGTCGTCAACAGATTCCGATACTGCAATACGAAAAATACCGGTTGCTTTACTACAATACAGAAGTACGTGTGTGTAACCATGTATGTATGTATGTATGTATGTATGTATGTATGTATGTATGTATGTATGTATGTATGTATGTATGTATGTATGTATGTATGTATGTATGTATGTATGTATGTATGTATGTATGTATGTAAGTATGTATGTATGTAAGTATGTATGTATGTATGTATCTATGTATGTATGTATGTATGTATGTATTTATGTATGTATGTATGTATGTATGTATGTATGTATGTATGTATGTATGCATGTATGTATGTATGAACCCATAATTGATTAGAACTATAGGGAAGTAATAATCATATCCGGGTTCAGCTTTATTCTATGTTAAACGCTTCGCACAGACAGGTATTTTAACGCTCCATCCAAAATACAGTATGAATGTATGTATGTATGTAAATTGTATGTATGTGTAGTGTATGTATGTATGCATGTTTGTACGTTACATATGAATAAATTACTGTATGAAATTGCCATTTTAAATTATATGTTAAATGCTGGCATGTCGTTTGTATGCCGTACCGTACATAGTACATGAGTTTCTATATCCAAATGACAAACTAACCAATCGACAATCAAATAATCGACTATTCAACCGACTAAACAACCGAACATCCCTGAAAATGAATTACAAACGAACTCGCTTCGGCCATAAATATCCGTCGGATCGGCACATGACTCGCTACTTCTTACACGAATATCGAGTCTACATCGTACATTCGAAGCCCTGGCGTGTGCTTGTGTGTGTGTTTGCTGGAACATATACTCTGAGAGAGAGAGAGAGAGAGAGAGAGAGAGAGAGAGAGAGAGAGAGAGAGTGTGTGCTCAGCTAAGCTTGGTTATCATCGACAATTAAAATAATTCAAGCGTTGGAAATTGAGAGCCGTTTATCGTTCGTTCGATGCAACCGCGCTCCTGCGTTGGCAGGTCAACATATTGCAATAATAAGTTACTACTGCTGCTGCTGCTGCTGCCTCGAACGCTACTTCTTCTGCTGCTACTACTAATAGTAGTAGTATTAGTGGAAGTAGTAGTAGTGGAAGTAGTAGTAGTAGTAGTAGTAGTAGTAGTAGTAGTAGTAGTAGCAGTAGTAGTAGTAGTAGTAGTAGTAGCAGTAGTAGTAGTAGTATTTCTTGCGGTTGATGATAGTGTTGTCAGCTGGCAATTTTTTTTTACAGATATAATTAGTGTTAAGTAGTTACTATACTATTCATGATGATGATGACTATTACGATAATGATGATGATGATGACGATAATGATGATGATGACGACGAAGACGACGACGATGATGGTGATGATGACGTTTTTGGTGATGCTGTATGTGTAAAATTTTCATACATGGTATTATCTCAGGCGAGCATTCACTCGTGTAAGGAAGTACGCTGTCTTCTGCCTCAACACAATTATTCACAATTCTATGTTTGTATGTCTGTCTGTCTGTCTGTCTGTATGTATGTATGTATGTATGTATGTATGTATGTATGTATGTATGTGTGTGTATGTTTGTGTATGTTTATATGTATGTTTGTTTGTGTGTATGTATGTGTGTATGTATGTTTGTATGTTTGTATGTATGTATGTATGTATGTTTGTTTGTATGTATGTGTGTGTGTGTGTGTGTGCTTGTGTGTACGGATTGTATTTCATTTTTTGTCTTTATTTCAATTCAACGATAAATATGTAAAAAAAAATGATCGAATTAATGAATGGTTGAATGTATGTATGAATGAATGAATTAATTAATTAATTAATTACTGAATGACTGACTGAATGAATGACTGAATGAATAAATGAATGAATTAATTAATTAATTAATTAATAAGTGAATGAATAAAAATAAATAGACACAAAATCTAGACTTAAAAATGGAGTAATATTTTTATTTACTTCCTCAATTTTAATTGACAGTCATCGGCTGTCCATACCTTGATATTAAGGACGCCAAAATTTCAAAAGCTAGATCACGTGATCAGATAAACAACAACAACAACAACAACAGCAACAACAACAACATCAACAACAACAACAACATCATTTCAGACACCAAAAACCACCTTAATAATAATAATAACATCAAGAAAGATGATAATGATGGTGATACTGCCGATGATGATGATGATGATAATAATGACGATGATGATGACGATGACGTAGAAAATGACGTCATGGTGGTCACGTGTAATAGCAATTCCTCGCTAGTCTACAGGTTAAGGTGCGTGGATGGCAAGTGGGATGGCTTGAAACCCCTCTGTTCGAAACCAGGTTTGGGAATTTTTTGACGAGGATGATGATGATGATAGTGACGATGATGATGATGATGATAATGATGATGATAATGATGATGATAATGATGATGATGATAATGATGATGATAATGATGATGATAATGATGATGGTGGTGGTGGCAATGACAATGATGAAAATGATAATAGCGACGATGACGATGATGATGATGACAATAGTGATGAAAATTAAAGTATTATTTCCATGATCATCGTAAAGAGCAACGCTATCATCATCATAATCATCATCGTCATCATCGTCATCATCGTCATCACTTCAGTTTCGATCATGACGTCATCTTTTACACTGACGTCATCGTCATCAGCTGCGGCCGATGGTTTAAAGCATTCCATGGCCCCAAATCACGGTTTGTTTTTTTTCTAATTTTAGGTACGATACTTTTTTCCTATAACTTTGTGTGTTAATTTTGATTTTATAGTTTTAATTCGCCATTTTGTTATCCATTTCATCATCACCACCACCATCATCATGGTGGTCGTCGTCATCATCATCGTCGTCATCGTCATCATTGTGACGCCCGCCATTGTGCCAGAGACAGGAGATGATAAATTTTACAAACTTGTGAATAAATTTTTTTCATTCGGAACAAATCTCTGACAATTTGTCTCTCTCTTTCTCCCTCTCTCTCTCTTTTTTCTTTTTACTACTTTTTCATTTCCGTCTCTCGTCATCCTCTTCTTCTCCCTATCTTTTTATGTATGACCGTTCATTTTATTTCTTTATTTCTTCTCTCTCTCTCTCTCTCTCTCTCTCACTCTCTCTCTCTCTCTCTTTCTCTCTCTCTCTATCTCTATCTCTCTATCTCTGTCTTTCAACAACAACATCCACATTAACAACAACAACATATCAACAACATCAAAATCAACATAAACAAAAACAACATCAACAACTCAACAACTACAGCATCAACATCAACAACATCAACAACATCAACATCAACAACATCAACATCAACAACATCAACATCAACAACAACAACATCTTCAATTGCTCGCAAATCAAATTAGTGTTTTGTGGGAGGTAAATGGACAAAAAAAATTTTTTTTTCATTTTTTTAATTAATTTTTTTCCATTTTACGGTTGGTATATATATTGTTTTTGACATTTTGATGTTGTTGTTGTTGATGTTTTTGTTGATGTTGTTGCTGATGTTGTTGTTGTTGTTGTTGATGTTGTTGTTGCTGCTGTTGTGTTATTGTCATTAAAAAATTCTGTATAATTTTTATGAAAAGATTTTCAAAATTTAATTTTTTGCTCATTAATTTATTTTCTGTTTTTTATTCTGCGAAATTAGGAGAATAAAATCATATCTGTGTGTACGTGTGTACTCCTGTGTATTTGTATGTGTGTGTGTATATATATTTATATGTGTGTGTGTATTTGTATGTGTGTGTGTGTGAGTGTGTGTGTATTTGTATGTATCGTCTCGTCTCGTTTCTTCTCGTTTCGTCTCGATTTTATAACGGACTGCTTAGGGTTATATGACATATGCCATCCTACACGCACGAGCTAGCTAAGATGCTATAAATATAAAGATGATGATAGCTAGATGATGACGACGACGATGATGATAATGATGATGATGGTAGTGATGATGGTGATGATGATGGTGACATATAATGATGGATAGCTATAGTAATAATAATCGTCGCGATATTTTTAATAGCGGTCAGTTGTAGTAGTAGTAGTGGTGGTGGTAGTAGTAGCTTTACCAGCAGCTGTAGTGGTAGTAGAAGCGACAGCAAAGACAGCAGTAGTTGTAATAGTAGTGGTGGCCCGGTAGTCGTCGTCTAAAATACTAAGTTTTTTTCTTTTGTTTTTTCACCATATTATGTTTTATTGCTTTATAAATCTGCCTTTAATTGTTTGTGTGTGTGTGTGTAAGTCTGTGTGTATGTAAGTGTGTATTTATGTGCATGTGTGTGTATTTTCATGTACGTGTATGTGTTTGTTTGTGTGTGTGTATATATATTTCTTAGGATCATTTGACGAGTTGTTCATATATAGCAATGTAGAAACGCAAACTTAACCTTATGTATAATTCAACTAATTTATTGCCGGCACTTCTGTTTTTGTATGTGTGTGTGCGCGCGCGCGTGTGTGTTTGTATATGTCCATGCGTGCTTGTTTGTATGTATGCATATATGTTTGTTTGTATCTCTGAATGCCGTACGTATTTAATTTATGTTTGATGTAATTTATTTGCTAGTCTTCCAGACATCTATCTATACATACATACATACACAAACAAACATGCAACAAACAAACAAACATTCAAACAATCATACATACAAACAAAAAAACATACAAACAAACAAACATATATACAAACAAACATACATACAAACACAGAGATCAAAATTATTTTTTATAGCCCCTACCCATTCACACATGCTCGCATATGTTGTCCATGGAGTTGCAATTAATTTTTCATGTGGTCAATTTCGCCTTTTGCTGATAAATTCATATTTATATATTTGTATCAATAAACATTACAACAACTACAACAACTACAGCAACTACAACTACTACAACAACTACAACAACAACTACTACAACTACTACAACTACGACAACAGCTACAACTACTACTACTACTACAACTACGACAACAGCAACTACAACCACTACAACAACGACAACAATAGATTTATTATTATTATTATTGCTGATGTATCAGCTATAAACACTCGTATTGAAACTGGAAAATGTCATTAATTCATAAAAACAAAATCATATTAATTGTTCTTAACTTAGTACAACAACATCACCATAACCAGATTACATTAACGCAAATAAACAAGCTGACGTGACATCAGCAAATGACATCAATGTCACGTGACGTCAACAATAATTGACGTCATTATCAACAGTTGTTGTCGTCATCAACAGCAGCCAGCAGATGACATCAACATAACGTGACGTCATTCGGATAAACAATGACACAATAATAAACATGCATGTGGTGTGAATAAGAACTGGATTAAATAGATTTCAAATATCTTGCTGTTGTTGTTTTTGCTGCTGCTGCTGTTGTTGTTGCTGTTGTTGCTGCTGCTGTTGTTGTTGTTGTTGCGTTCCATTACTTTTTATTTAACACGGGCCCGCGGCTGAAGAGCATGCTGTTTTGTTAATTTTTCATGTCCTTCGTTTCTCTCTCTCATTCTCTCTCACTCTCTCTCTCTCTCCCTTTCTTTTTTTTTCATTCTCACTCTTTCTCTCACTCTTTCTTTCATTTTCTCATCTTTCATTCCTCGGTAAACGTTTTGGGTTTAATTCAGTTTGCCAGACTCATTATATGTGGCGTTGGCGCGATGGTGATGATGACGATGCTGTTGTTTTTGCTGCTGCTGCTGCTGCAACTACTGCTGCTGCTGCTGCTGATGTTGATGATGATAATGATGATGATGTGGATGATGATGATGACGACGACGATGATTATGATGACGGTTTAAAAAATTATTCCAATAAAAATTACATCGGTTATGATTTTGCGAAAACGTAGCATCACCAACACAACGGCCATCGTGACCCCCATCATCATCATCACCTCACCCCATCATCATCATCATCATCATTATTACCATCATTACAATCATCATCATCATTACCATCATCATCATAACCATCGCGATCATCATTATCAGGAATATTGGTGGTAATCGGGGTGGGCGTTGCGATCGGTGTGGCGTTCGGTGTCTTCATCCTCTTCACCCTCATACTCTGCCACCGAAGGCTAGTTTTGTAGTAATAATAATAACAACAATAATAATAATAATGATGATGATGATGATGACGACGACGATGATGATGATGATGAGGATGGGAACAAATTTTATTTCAACTAAAAGCATACTTAATAAGATATAATTATAAATATAATATAACTTAATAATATAATATTTCTGATGATGATAATAATAATAATAATGATAATAATAATAACAATAATGATAATAATAATAATGATAATAACCCACCGCAGAAGTTATCGCAGCCACTGTAACGCAACGGCAGCTGCCACAACAACCACAACCGCAACCACCACTGGTCTATTTATTCCCAACAACCCTTCACCATCGTCTTCATCATCCTACTATCATCATCATCATCATCTTTTCAATAATAATAATAATAATAATAATAATTTCGTAAATTTGACACTAGAACAACAGCACCAGCGAAGTAAGCTTTTGAATTCCATTTATTATCGCCACACCGGCAGTGATGTCAGCCGTGACGTCGGCAGTAGCATCTATGACTCTTTGTCAAAAGTTAATTTCACTACAAACAGCAACAACAACAACAACAACAATATATGCAATCACATCATCAACAACAATAAATCTAGCAATGACAAAAACACTTATAACTCTTGTTCATTTTGCCGCTGCACTGTCGTTTCAAACAACAACATCAGCAACAACATCAACAGCAACAACAACAACAACAACATCAACAACAACAACAACCTTCCAGATCTATACAATTACACAACAGCATCAACGATGAACGGCCCATCAACACTACTATTATACCAACTACCTGGGAATAACTACTACGACGATGAAGAAGGTGATGCCAGTGAGACAGTTTTTAACAACAACAATATCAACAACAACATCAACAGCAATAACAACATCATCAACAATAACAACATCAACAATAACAACATCAACAACAACAACAACAACAACAACCATGATACCGTTAAAAGAACAACTAATAAAAACAACATTGAAGATTGTAGTAAAGATGATGATAATGATGATATTAACGACGATGATAATGATGATGACGCATCAACAACAACAACAACAACAACAAAACTCAACAACAATAATCAACACAATTTCATTTACAACAACAACAACAAAATTATAAACAACACCAACAAAAATATCATCCAATCAAAAAACACTTATCAACTAAAAACACCTTATCTCAACAACCACAACAACATCAACAACGGTCTATTACCTTCTAAGCTAATAAAACCAGCAGATAGTTTCGTAAAGCCAGCAACGTCATCTCTAAATGACGTCACACAGCTGCTTCTACTCAGCAGCCAAAGTTACCAGCAATACCATCTCGACGATGACGAAGGTGTCGTCATCAGCAACGAAGCTATCGCACTTAGCAACGGTTGCTTAGACAATCAGCAGCTGCACTTGTGACCATTCTCAATTTTCCAATTCAATTATCAATTTCAGAGAACTTTTTGTTCTAGCTAGGTAGATTGCTATTGAAGATGAAAATGACCTTTAAAAAAAATTTAAATTACCCATACTTTGTTATTTGTTACGCGAATTTTTAGTTGTTTTGTGTGTAATTTTATTGAATATTCAATCATTTTCAACAAATATGGGGCAAATAAAACTTTTCACGGCAGTAAATGGACAATATTTATATGCGTTGCTATTTATAGACCACATTTCAGCATTCACATATCTTTATAAAATATATATATATATATATATATATATATATATATATATATATATATATATATATATATATACAACTATTACCATATTATCTTAAACAGTATTAATTTAAACTTTTCATAGTTACAATTTTATTGAGATTTAATTATTTAAATTTCGAATACAAACTGTTAATTATTATTTGTAACTTTTTAAAGCTCTTGTTTTATGTAATTTTCTGTCTAATAAAGATTTATTCTAACATTTAAAGTACTGCAATTTTTTCGTGTGTTTAAAACTTTTTCAAAATTATTAACTATGTTGTATTATCTATAGAGATCATTTTATTTCATCTTCTGCTTTAATAAACTCTTCAATCAATCAATCAATCAATCAATCAATCAATCAATCAATCAATCAATCAATCAATCAATCAATCAATCAATCAATCAATCAATCAATCAATCAATCAATCAATCAATCAATCAATCAATCAATCAATCAATCAATCAATCAATCAATAAATCAATCAATCAATCAATCAATCAATCAATCAATCAATCAATCAATCAATCAATCAATCAATCTATCTATCAATCAATCAATCAATCAATCAATCAATCAATCAATCAATCTATCTATCAATCAATCAATCTATCTATCTATCTATCTATCTATCTATCCATCAATCAATCAATCAATCTGTCAATAAATCAACTCTTAATTTTGGATTCGAAAAAAGACAATGATTTTCATGTTAATTTATAAAATTTTAAGCTTTCACCTTGATTTAATTTAAGTGGATATTTTAATGAATATATGGAGTAAATAAAGTTTAATTAATACAAAATATATAATAACAAAACGTTTTAATTAAATAAGTACATTATTATAACAGAACATTTCGGTATTTAAATAATTAAACATGGTGAAAATAATTTTTGAATTCATTTTTGTTCATAAAAAAAACCCTGAAACTCTTCAAAAATGAAACCAGAGATGAGATTACTGTACCTATGAACTCTCAGTACTTCAGGTTGTAATCTAACTTTACTTTTAAACATCTTATTTTTAGTTTTTGATCAGCAGCTTTATTTTTGCGGGCGATTTGCTTTTCTCCAGATTCGTTTCATCCTGAAGTGATCCGAATTTAAGTTATTTTCTTTTAATTTTTGTTATTTAATTTTAAAATATTTTAATTCGAATTTGTTTTACACTTGAAAATTCCGATAAGAGATCAGTCGTTAAGTTTTCATCCTGAAAGTTGAAAGTTAGCACATCCTATGTTCCTGGAATAGTGGAATCTGATTTAAAAAATTGAAAATTATTAAAAAGTAATCTGCAATTGAAATATTTTCGTTGTTATTATTTTTGAATTTTATTTTTGCATATTCATTTTCTCAAAAATATTAAATAATCTAAGATTATCATGATATTTGAGAAAAGGTTATTATTGTTTTCTTTTTTAAATAAAAAAAAACAATTAATTTTTAATTTTATATCCAACAGTCCAATTCTGCCAAAAAAAAACGTACAAGTCAGATTTTCTTAAAAAAAAAAACTCACCCTCAACTGACTAACTCCAAAAAATCATGAGATCCAATCAGTATCCTGTCCTGGTCAAACAGTGCAGTGTAACTGCCTTAATGGACGTCAGAACTTTAGTAACTTTTTGTGGTAAGAATAAAATTGTAATCAACGAACAATCTTCTCTCCAACTTATCGACATGATTGTGAGAAAGTTAGGAGTTGGAAATAGCCAAATATTGACCAAGTATTGTGGGTATTGCTGAGTTTATTTGCTTTATTTTCATACATGATTTGCATAATTTTTCATTAATTGTGTTATAACTGTTTCTATTATGATTTGAAGTGTGTTGATGTTGAGAGTCATTGAATTAGACTGATTTAGTGGTCCATTCATTCATTCGTTGACTGACTGATTCACTAATTGCCTAACTTTGCTTCCTGAAGTGTCTGAATATGAAAACTGGACAGAGGAGGAATATGAAGTTGAAGCTATCATCGACTGTCGAGAAGACCCCGCCGATGATGAGGTTATAAATAGAAACTAAGATGAGGATGATGACGAAAATGGTGATGATGGTGGTTTTGATTGTGATTATGCTGCTGCTGATGATCATGATGATAATATGATAATGAATAGAATATTTTATTTTTTTATTTTTGAGACAAACACACACACACGCGCGCGCACATGCAAACACACACAAACACAGAAATATTACCTGGTGAAGTGGAAAGGCTGGAGCAACGAGCACAACACCTGGGAATCCAGGGATAATCTTCTAAACTGCCTTGACCTTGTGACCCAGTTCGAGAAAGGTCATATGATGGAAAAGTTTCTAGGTTATTCAAAGGCCAAAGTTCATAGGCCTGATAGTAACAGTAATAATAGTAGTAATAGTTATGGTGGTGGCGGTACTGATGACGATCGTTTTGAAAGTCGCTTAGGTAATGATAATGATGACGTTAAACTCGGTGTTGGTGATGATAGTGATGGCGATCGTGATGGGAAGAAGAGAAATAAGAATGTTGTTGTTGTTAGTAGTAGTAGTAGTAGTAGTAGTAGTAGTAGTAGTAGTAGTAGTAATAGTAGTAGTAGTAGTGGTGGAAGAAGAAGTAGCAGAAGAAGTAGAAGAAACAATAAGAATAATATTAATAATGATAATAATAATACTGAAAAGACTACTATAACTAATACCAATACCACTACAACTATTAAAAATACTATTACTAATAAGAATAATAATAATGATATTGATAATAAAGACTCGACTGCTGCTGGGACTGTGCTAAATTATTATAAGGAGATGGCCAAATTTAAGTGCAGAGGCCTCTCAAAAGTGACCAAAAAGCACCAAAGAACAATTAGACAGATCAAATCTGAGGTCGCCACGAACAAGATTGAAATAATCACTCAGTACCTATTCAGCCACTACGATGAAACTCTTCTGTCGAGATTAGTGGCCGCAATCGACTGCCTAAAATTAGTGAAAGAAAATTTTTTTAGGTCGGGGTGTGTTTTGAATATGTCAAAGAAGTTGAATAAAATGTCCAAAGTTCACAAGGTTAGGAATTAAAGATTTGTTGTTGTTGTGGGGTCCAGATGATTGGAAGCCAGTTTTAGAGATGTGCTTTTGTGTGTGCTTATTTTTTTTCTGAATTCAGATTAAAGTTGTATGTAGTTCAAATAGTTTTAAGAGATTTCAATTTTTTACTTCAAGTGTATTAAATTTTAGAGATCCATTCCTTTGCAATCTTCATCATCATCATACCTCATCATCATCATACCTCATCATCATAATCAGGAATACAGGCAAGAGCTGAACAACATTTTAAAAACGTGGGAATCTGAGATGAACTCAAAAAACCCGCACCTCCCTAAAATAATCGTCGAGAACAATGTCGATTTTGAAGGACCCCCAACTAATTTTGTATTCATAACCGAACGGATCGCCAGTAGGGATGTGCTGTTATTGGAGGACCCCATTGTCGGCTGTGACTGTGCTATGGGCGTCTGCTATAAGGATAAAAGATTGTGTTCTGGTAGGTTGGTTGGATGGTTGGTTGGTTGGTTGGATGGTTTGTTAATGGTATATAAGGTAGATATTATTCATTTTAAACTATCATTTTTAAATGAATGTTTAATAATAATCAATCCACCAATCATATTTCATCCCCTTTTTACATACCAAACTATTAAATCATACCGTCTAACTTCAACAACTAATCAAATTAAAAGATGTAAATCAATCAGCCAATCAAATTCATCATATCCACCTTATTGACCAATGAACAGGCACCCATGGTAAGCTGAGATACGACAAAAAAGGTCTTTTAAATCCACTAGTTATTGGAAATCCTATATATGAATGTAACAAAAGGTGACTGTGTACATGTTTGTGTGCGTGTGCGTGTTTGTTACGTGCCAGAACTTTCTAAACGTCGTTAGTATCATATACATGCTGAGAAAACGTTTTGATTGATTTGATATCATCAATTAGTGACCCATTAGTTCGCCAGAGAACAACATTCAAATGGAAAATGAAATAGGAATGAGCTTGTCTCTGATGATGAATTAAATGTTGTTGGGTTAGGAATGAGCTTGTCTCTGATGATGAATTAAATGTTGTTGGGTAGAGGTCAGGCAAAACTGTGAAAGTTCGTTGCTTCTTTTTAGAGCCCCAAGCAGAGAAAATTTTTCTAAAGTTAACTGAGTTAACGTCCGCAATCATCCGCACCGCGCCCGCCGTCTTCATCTCACTTTTAAAATTAGAAGATAGCAATGCCAGAGAGCAATTTATTTTAGAAGGGTTTAATAAATTTCTAACTTAATAATTAAAATTACAACATCGGCCAGAACAACGAGCACAAAATGAACGACGATGAGGAACTCAAACAAGCTATTTAGTTAATATTTATGAAGATGTATGTATGGCGATAACAACACTTGTGTTAAGTATCAACGATAGGTACACTTCACGCATACGTTTTGTATGACACATATGTACATACATTTACATACACGTGTTTGTGTGTATGGACGTGTATAACTTTGAATTAACTTTATTTATTCAAATCTGCTGAAGTAATTAGTGCTTGGCTTTATCAATGGACCCCAGAGAGACTCATCAAAGGTCATTAAATACCCATACGTATATGCAAGCAAACAATTTTTTAATTTGAAAATGTTTGAAAATTAAAAATTTAATTTTAGCCGCCGTACGTAACCGCGCTTTCAGCTCAACTTCTTATCTCGATAGCATCTTCCAGCGTTCCACTGTAGAAAGTTGGCTCCACATTAAACTTTGCACTGCAAAAAGTACAATCCAGTTCGGAGTTGTGGCCAGATTAAGCAAAGAAAACGATTCATTATAAGCAGCAGTTCTCACTTCAATTGATGCGTTGCAATTGTTCTTATAAGTTTAATTTTTAATAGCGATTGCCGTTTGATTTCGTTGCGCTTGTGGTATCCAAAACGTTCTCTAAAATGGTGTCCTAGTGTATATGTTTCTATGTATTTTCGTATTAAGCATCTCTTAAATCATTTACTAAGCAGGCCAATTTCAGAAGACGGAAGTGAAAGTTTGATTTTTTTAATTCCAGATGCTCTTGTTCAGCTAACTGCATCAACAGGGTGGTGCAGAAGGGTCGCAAGTATCCAGTTTCTATTTTTAGGACCAGTGATGGGCGCGGTTGGGGTGTGAAATCTTTGGAGAAAATTCCTAAGGGTGCTTTCGTTGAGGAATATATAGGAGAGGTTTGTTTTGTCTTTGTGTAATGATGACCAGCATCAAAGTTGTTGCATTGATACTTTTTCAATCTTTGATACTTTGTCTATCTTTGGTACTCTTTCTGTCTTTGATATTTTTTCAGTGTTGGCTTTGGTATCTTAAATACTTTCGATGCCAACTTTCCTTGAATATTGTTAACCATAATAATCCGCACCATGCCGTCAACTGACCAATCGCCATTCACCTAATCAGGTCATCTTGTCAGAGGAGGCGGAGAAACGAGGTCAGCAAGATAATTCCGAAGGTTTGACCTACTTATTTGACCTAGATTTCTATTCAAGAGACTGTGCCTACACAGTTGATGCAAAAACTTACGGAAATGTTTCGCATTTCATCAACCATTCAGTTCGTTTTTTGTTATTTTTAAAGTCAAATTTTTTTTTCACAATTTTTTTTTTATTTGTCGCTTTCTTTTGCAACATTAAAATTACACATCTGTGACGTCATCACTATCTTCACATCAAATGATCATCATCAGTGCGATCCCAACTTGGCGATATTCAATGTGTGGGTGGATAATTTGGACATCAAACTTCCGAGACTCGCCCTCTTCGCCATCAAAGATATCAAAATGGGGGAGGAGCTAACTTTCGATTACCACATCGTTATTGGTTAGAATTTATTGCTGCTGTATTGTGATTGGTTAGATTTTAGTTGCTTTTTTGCCTGCTTGATTGATTAGTCTATCAACATTATATTGCATTGTTATTTATTAAAATTGATTTCTTTGTGTGTGTGTGAGTGTGTGTGTGTGTGTGTGTGTGCTACATTATGGCTGGTTAGATTTTTATGGATCGCGTTGTGATTGGTCAGATGTCATTTGCTTGTTCTGTTTCGTGCTATTCAAATTTTTAAACAATGTACTGTGATTGGCTGCTGAAATATAAGTCATTGTTTCTAATTGGCTGGCACTTTTTAAATTAACTTTCTCAAAGAGGATGACGAAGCTGTAGAAACTGAAAGCTTTGTCACAGCGCTATCATCACAACCGTCCACTTCGACCAATCAAGATTCAACTGACTGTCCCCAAAACAACAACAACAACAGTGAAGCTAGCCACAACACCCACACTGATCTGACCCATTTTCAAGAAACCATCAGCAACAATAATATGACTTACTCTCATAATAATTATGGCAATTATAACAGCAATGACAAAGATATTTCAAGTTTAGATACTCTAACTATAAAAATTAGTGATAGAAATGAAACAGTTAAACAATCAGGGATGTGCTGTTCGGGTGATTCGGGGGGTCCAGTTGTCTCGATTTCGAAGAACGTCGAATTTGTGTCACTCGCTATGCCCAAGTTGACTCCTAAAAAGTCGGGTGATAATAAAGTTATTGTTGCTGATGATGATGATGCGGTCAACAATAATAATAATAATAATAGCCACCTAAATGACGATGACGGTTATGATAAAATTAGTGAGAGTAGTAGCCAAAGAACTCTAAGAAGCTATAAGAAGATGCTTAATCAGGGAATCAACAAAAATAATAAAAAAAATAACAAGAATAACAAAAATAATAATAATAATAAACTTTATGGTAAAAATAGAAAGCGCAAATGGTCCGAGTCACTGCCTCCATTGATTAAACATTTTGCAACACCGCCATCACCATCATCGTCTGCTTCCTCTGAAAGATGTATCGGTAATAATATTAATAATTATGCTAATAATATTAATAATTATGCTAATAATAATAACGTAATTAGTAATAATTTCAATTATAATGATATTGATGGCAATAATAATAAGAATAAAAACTTTGATTGTGACTATGGTAGGCCTACTAAGCCCAAGAGGTTGAGAATTCTTTGTGTGTGTAAGTCCGCAAACTGCAGGAAGTTTTTGTATTAATTGATTAGTTTGAGTGATTGGTTGAATAATTAGTTGATTGATTGAGTAGATGATTGATTGATCGATTGATTGTCGTTTGCTTGTGTAAATTTGACTAGGAAGTTGTCGAATGATGATTAATTGTTTGTTTGATTGATTGATTAATTGATTGATTGATCGATCGATTATTTTTAGAACCGTTTTTAGAATTCAACCAGCCATCATCAACATAAGTTTTTTGTTTTAAAATTTTTAAAAAATCATTTCAAGTTCGTTATGTCTGTTATAAAAGTAATTATTCGAATTATGTCTTAAAGCTTATTTTGTTTTGGGCGTTTTATTTTAAGGGTTGAAATATTACTTTTTGCCATTTTGTTGAATTTGGGACCTAACTTCTACAGTTTCAAAGCAGAAATTGCTAGCAAAATGATGGAAAAGCAAGTTTATATATGAGAATTTTGTTTAGAATGATTTTTTTCGATAAAATTATTCGTTTTCATGATTTTTAACGATGATTTCTATTATGTTTGTTTAAATAAATCCAAAAAGCGTTTATTTTTTTAGTGTACTTTGCATTGAAGAAATTTTTGAAGGTTTTATTATAGTGGATTTAAATATGTGAACTTTATGACATTTTTTTATAAAAGATTTATATATGTGTGTGAAAATATGTATTTATATTGCATATTAAATTGTGTGGCCCGTGTATAATGCTAAACATTACGTTACGTTGTCTTTGTAAACTAGTGTTCACTTATAAATGATGTTTAAATGTTAAGTTACACCGTAGTGAACTTTTACAATTCATCTCACACGAACGGCTTACCTGAATTCGGATTTCGCTAGTCGATCGTTTTAATGATTAGTTAATTTAAATTATTGTATCGTAAAATTATTTAAATTTTATTTAGAGTAAATTAGATTTAATTAACTTTGTATGACGAGTAAACGACGCGAAGATATGGTCGATTTAGAACAGCAATTCATTCTCAGGCTGCCATTGGTAAAAAATTATATTTTATTTTAAAAATTAATAATTTCGAAACTAAAATTGTTTTCTTCTTCTGGTAATCAGATTGCAAAATTAGGAAATGCCATTCGTTTTTGTTACTTTTTATTTTTTTAGCAGTAGTATCTTGAAAACCATGTTAATTTTTTTTAGTATATAAAAAAGTATTGGCATAATATAATTTATAATCCTAAAACAGTGCCTGCAATTGAATTAAAAGCAAATTATTTACACGTAAATAAGTTGTTATTTGTATTAAAAAAATGTGGTAGAATTAGTTTCAGGGGTTAGGCCCTAACCCTAACCTAAAGAAACCCTAACCGTTAGGGTTTCTTTTCAGAATCAAATTTATGTCTCTCTCTAAGCTAAGAGTATTTTCACTCTTTTTAATCAGATGCACTCACTCATACTTCTCTTGCATTGTAGGCACTGTTCTAGGATTTTGCCAAAGTATTTTGTTACATTTCCTAATTTTTCTAATGATACTTTTATAAAAGACAGCGGCTGACAATCTTAAAAAAGATCTTCAGATAGGAGGGATGAGTTTGAAAGATAAATTGTCGCTAGAAATTCACCCTGAAACAAGAAGAGGGAAGGTTGTCTACGACAGCCAGATGTACAATGCCAAGGTCATTATTTATTTTTTAAAGTTTTGTTTAACTAATCAATTAATTATTTTTAATTAATCAGTAAGTAAGCAACTAATTAGATCACAACAATTTCATTTAGGAATAAATTTATTTAACTTTTTCAAAAATTTGTTAATAATTTGGAAATTTTATCTAAATGTGAATTCATTCCTCCATGAATTCATTTAAAAGTAAGTTTATCACTCAGTTAATATATTTCAAAGTTAATTAAATTATTATTTATTTCAATTTAATTTTTAATTCAGCTTGTCGACCTACCTTGTATAGTTGAGTCGTACAAAACCACAGACAGAAAAACATTCTACAAGTGTGCCGATATTAGCCAGGTAGATTGATTGATCCATTCATTCATTCATTCACTCATTTATTTATTTATTGGTAGTATGGCTGGGTGATTGATTGGTTAAATTGAGATGAGGTTTTTTTGCCATATAGTTAGTTGATTTAGTGATAAATTAAGTGATTGTTCAGTTTATTTATTAATTATTTAATGGATTGATTCAATAACCGGTTGTCTGATAATACATTCTTTGCTTGATTGGTTGGTTGGTTGGTTGGTTGAAAGATTTATACACTGTTTGATTGGCTGATTGGTTTTTAATGTATGATAATTTATGATAATTTATTCATAATTTCACAGATGCTAATGTGTAAGAACGACTTCACTGATGACAGTCCAGATGAAGATAATAATATTAACAACAACAGCAACGTCGATTCGAGTATTAAGAAGAAAGAAAAAGATAAGAGGTTTCTATGGAATCATGGATGTTAGTTGATTGGTTGGTGTATGGTTGATAGATGGATTGTTTTGATTGGTTGGCTGGTGTATGGTTGATAGATGGATTGTTTTGATTGGTTGGCTGGTGTATGGTTGATAGATGGATTATTTTAATTGGTTGGTTTGATTGATAGATTTAATAAATTTAAGCTTAACTGTTGACTGACTGATTGGTTGATTCTCTCGAATCACTAATCAAACTTTTCAATTTTCAGTATGCCCACCATTGAAGAATGTTCGCAAGAGAAGATTTAGAAGAACTCTCCAGAAAAAAGTTGAAAAATGTTTTCAGTCATTGAACAACCTTTACCTCTCTCTACTTTCTCTCTCTCTCTCTACTTTCTTTCTCATTCGTTTTCCAACATTTTCATCATGCAATAACTTTTTTCAAAACTAATGCCTGTCTGTCATTAAACTAATCAACCAACCAACCATTCAACCAATCAGCTAACCATCAATCAATCAATCGACCATCAATCAATCGATCTTAAAACTAACCAATCACATAATCACTCAACCAACCAATCAGCTAACTATCAATCAACCAACCATCAATCAATCAGTCTTACTGCTAACCAATCACATAATCACTCACTCAACCAACCAATCAGCATCCAGAACAGCCGGACATAGAGCGAGAGCTGAGACGGCTGTTTAGCATGGACGCCCAAGCTATTGACGTGAAATGGGAAATTATCTACGAGCAGGAGAAACCCGACAACGGCACCCACCACACTAATATCAGTAGTAACACACACATCCCTAATTCGTCCAAGGCCAACAAGCATAACAATAATAATAATAATAATGCTGGGTCTAGTGGTGGTAATAGAAATAAAAATAGTGATGGTAATAATAATAATAATAAGAAGAAGAAGAAGAGTAAAATAAGCGGGAAAATGTTTAAAAGTGAAAATGACGTCAAGGATGAGTGTGATGATGATGATGATGATAAGAACAACAAGGACAACGATGATGATAATGGTTATAACAACAATAATAATAATAACAACAACAATAATTATTTAATGAATACCGAGAATAGTAACAGCAACATAGGCCTGAATAGCAACAACAATAACAATAATAATTGTAATAAATATAACGGAGACGGTGATGATAACGATAATAAGTCGATGATGATGATGATGACAGAGGAGGAGAGTAATGATAATAGTCGAATGATGTTCGGTGAGTAAGTAGACGATGACGATGATGATTGTCATGGTGATTGTGTGAACTACCTACACAATGATTGTTGTGATGATGATGATTGTGGTGATGGTGAATAATAATAGTAACAATGAAATCTATTTTTAACTCTCTGCCAACCAATCAACAGCTGATAGTGACATTTTTGGCGAGGTCAGCAGTTCAGATAGCGACGAGGACGATGACGTCACTTTCAAAAGCAACGACAATAACGAAGGTGGAGAATTCAAACCATCCAATCAGAATGAAGACAGCTCTCTGATTGGTCGCCAGGATTCGACCAATCAACTTTCAGACGGTGAAATACCATCAGATAACGGTCAGTTGTGTGATGGCTTTCAAGTTAATGAAACACGTCTATTCATTTCATTTCAATTATTTCTTTATTATTATAAAAATAATTATTATTATTATATATATTATAATAAAATAATTATTATATATATAATAATAATTAATTAATTATTTTTAGTCCAGTTGATCAGACGACTGAATGAACTGAAAGAGAAATCACTAAAGTGTAAAGAGGAGAGAATATTTAAAGAGGGACTACTATTGGATGAAAATACCGAAAACCATCTAAAAGTTTTAAGATTTCAAAGATCTTTTAAATAGATTGATATTTATCTATATCAATCTATTTATCTATATTTATTTTAACTATGAAATTATTAATTACAGTCATTTTATAGTATATATTTATTTATATATCTACTATATATCCAACTGAGTCTACGTATCTTACGTTATTAACTTTCTTACCTGCATAATATTTTACGGATTTATAACAATAATAATGATACACATATTATTATACTATAATATTATATCATATTATTATTATCATAATTATTCGACTATATTTTAAAGTCAATCGTTTGCATTTATAAGGAGAGCCTTCGTGATGAAATCCAAGACCTGACAGTGAAGGAATCTGACTTAGAGAAAGAGGTATAATTATTATTATTAATTTATATTATAATTATATTAATTTATATTATATTATATTCTTATTATTAATATGGTATTGTATGAATTCTACTGATCTGTTGGCATTAATCAATTTAATTTAATTACATTCTAATTGTACATTCTAATATATATATATATATATATATATATATATATATATATATATATATATATATATATATATTTCATCCTCAACAACATCATCAATATATATATATATATATATATATATATATATATATATATATATATATTTACAATATTCTATAAATTCTACCGAATGTTTGGCGTTAATATGTTTGTGGTTCGTTTTTTCGATTTTTCTCACTAAAGTTTTTTGGTGAACGTTTAGTTTATTAAAATTCAAAATAAACTTATTTTGCGAATTCATGCTGCAAATTAAGGCCTTATTTGTACTAAAGTTTTTTGGTGAACGTTTAGTTTATTAAAATCAAAACAAACTTATTGCG